CTGGGGAGGAAGGAGACAAGGCACCATCACTGATGGGGAAGGTCATGGGGACTGTCTGACTGTTCCTTCCATGGCCAATTTGGAGAGGGCAGAGATGGGGTTGGAGTCTCAAATGGCAACAATCCCCTCCCCTATTGACATTTAGCGGGTACATAGTATTCTCTGGATCCGGGCTAGAAAAGCCAGATCCAGTTCTGCTGAGGCCCACTGTGAAGGATCTTACACTGTGAGTCACCCAGGGTGACAAACAGAGTGAGCAAGGGCAAATGGAGTCAGAAGCAAGCAGTGAAATTTAGATCACACATGAGATTTCCCCACAAGCAGGGCTAAGCTCATCTCTTGCTCTCATACCAAGCTGCTTCTCTGTGTCTACCATCAGCCCCATGATGGAGGTGTCCCCTATCCTCCCCCTGCACGCTGAAGCCTGATCAATTTGGGCAGCTGCACTTGTTGGGTGAGTGTGAGGGGTCTCATCACTTATCTATATCTGAAAGATTACTGCAGAAAGAAAGGTGAAAATATTATGGTTATTATGCAGAAACTAATGACCTCTTATCTCACGGTAAGATGAGACAGGCCTTTCCTTTCTCCAGTCCCCTTCCAACTATTGGCATCATGTCCACCTGCAAGAGTCTGTTTTACCTTCACCCACTCAATGTCTGTGCTGCTTAAGGATGACACCTTGAAGAGAATGGCCTCCAGAAGTGAGCCAAGGCCACCTAAAGCTACTGCTGCTGGCATGCCTTTAGAGTCACATTAGGAGAGATGAGCCAGACCATCTCTACCCTGTCATCTGAAACACAGGGGCTGTTCCAGTCAGGCAATAAAACCCTGGAGAGAGGGTGAAATGGATACTCCTCTCCCTTCAAGCCAAAAGGCTCCCTTGCAACACACTGACAGAGGCAGTACTCAATCCACCAGCTGCCTTCCTGAGCTGGACCACTGCAGGCTCTTCCTCTGGTTTATCTTTGATAACGCTGGGACTTGGGCCAGATCCCAAACAAGCACACCTGGAATTACAGGCTGACCACTGGGCAGGACATGCAGTCCGTCCAAAAAGCCACCTTGGCACTAGCTTAGATGCATCTATTGAATGAAGGAGAACGTGTCAGGACTAAGGAGTGGAGGAAGGGTAGGATGGCTGAGCTGCTAGTGTCTAGTGAGAAACCTTAAGTGGCACCACTTTTTCCAGGGGTGTCAGGGGCCACACAAACTCCACATCCTCCTCCTCACCCCTGGCAAAAGCCTGTCCTCTGCTGTTACATTGTCTCCCAACAAGAAACAACCTGGCTGCATACATCTTGACACAATGCGATGTCTTCCTCTGATATTTCTAAGCCAAGGACTTGCTTTAATTTCTGCAGTTAAAATTTGAGTTAAATGGCTCATGACTAAGTGATGGAACTAATAACCTGCAGGGAGCAGGTAGTCTTTCTTTTACACTTCTGCTCTCGGTAGCAACGGGTCAGCACCCATCTGCTAGGGATGAAGGCAGACAGTTGTTTGTTTTTAGGATGTTTGCAATATTTCTCCACAGTAATTGTCAGAGATTAGCAGCTTGCAGGTAACATTCAGTAAAAAGTACTCTCTGCATTTTAAAAACCAGAATCTGCAAGGGACAGGTTATTAATATAACTGGAAAATCTTCTTTTCCCTTGTAATACTCCTCTGATAGAGCATAAGATCAGCAAACCAACATTTCCATGAGTCCAGGCATTCAAATGAATTGCACAAGCAAGTTTCAGCACTTGACTAAAATCCTCCATTTTTTGCTTTTAGCACTAGGAAGTTCAATCTTGAATTCTGTGGTTGCTATGAGCACATCAGAAGGAGAGTTTATAACAAGATCACTCAGTAACACATCTTACAGTTTTTGCCACCAACAGCCACTCTCATAAAGTCATTTTTTTGCCCTGTTGAACCACAGTCACTTCTGGGGTGCTGGGCGGCCACTATTTTAACAAGAGAGAGGAGAGGAAGATTGGCACTTCAGAGTCCCTACAGTTTGCAGCAAGTCCTTAGCTGCAGAAGACACACAGAAGTCTGTTTTTTCTCTAGTATTAAACCCCACTATCTTAAGGTTCATCTCTGAAATGGGGGAGCACGGAGGCCTGACTGTGCATCAGCTGTCTTTGTGCGTCTGCTTTCTAGTGCAAACTGAGTGAGACTTTTGAACGTGGCTGTTCATCTACCAGGCTGAGGGGAGGACCAGCCCATCTGTGGTACCTAACACAGGACTGAGCACAGACATTGTCTGTTTAGTGGGAGGTGGGGAGAAGTGGAAAAGAGTCTTCCCCTTTTCAAAAGAGCAGGAATCAGCTCCATCCCCTAAGAATAATTTTCATTCCATTGTTAGAGAGCTATAAAATATTTATCAGTCTTCAGTACCAATCTAAGCTCTTTGCTTAATAATTAGACCTGATATTACCTAGTGGCTCTGCAACCTGAGGGTGCAGTTACCTGTGGTGGAAACTAGACTATGTCTAGAAATAATTCACCCATAAACCATTCCTTTCATTTTCACTGAGGTTAAAACATTTGCAAACAACAGCTCACACCCAAAAAAATGTAAAGTAACAAGTGTCATTTGCTCCAGGGTCCAGCTAGAATACAGGAGAGTAGTTTTTAACCCTGTTTCTTTTTAACTTAGGTTGTAAGGAAGGTTGAATCTAACATAATTGCTGTGACTGCAGTCCAGTGAAATCTATTGGAATTTGCTGGCACAAAAGCCAAGACAAACGATGGGAGACCCAGGAGCCCAAGGTCTCCATCTGCTTGTCAGTCATCCCATAATGGACAGGGATGTGACTTGCACCAATAAAAAGGCATCCACATATAGAAGACATCAATTTACATCTTATTGCAGTAACCCTGAGTCCACAGTGGTGAAGGAAGGAATTGTTCCTACTTATTTCAAGTCCTTAGAGGAGTTTAGGTCCCATCCAAATCAGTGAAGCTTAAACCGTTAGCCCTAGATCTTGATCCAGTCTCCACTAACATGTATGACAGAGTGATATTACTTTAACGGCATTTGGATCAAGTTGCTACAATATGGACAGGATACCAATTTCTTTCTTTCAGGAACTTATTGCCTCCTGTACACAAAATTAAAATACACAATTAGATTTCCATTAACTTACAGCAAATTCTGCTGAATTGATCTGAACCTCCTTGTATTCCTATATGAGATCATACCTTAAATGCTCAGCCTGAACATAAATACTTAATGTAATAAATACAGTCTGAAATATTTGATCCACTTGGCAGTTTAATTGATCTACTACAGAGACTGACAGGAAAAATTAAATTAGTTCTGTCTTGTCTCTGCCAACATCACATTTCAACTGTAACGATATTTGATCTACAATTTTGGTTGCGAAACCTTTTGTGCAGTTCCAAGGTTCAGTTTCAGCTAAGAAGAGTGGGGTGGGAGCAGGGCCCATATTGGTTGGTACATAAGTATTTAAAATATATATTTTGTATTTTAACTTAACAGTTTAAAGAATTTAATTGCCTTTCTGAAAGGCAAAACCCCAGTTCTTTTCCTCTTCCAGTATTTGTGCATATCAGCATTTGATGTGGACAGCTGAACAGCAACCTGATATGGAGCAAAGTGAGGAAAAACTCCTGTTTAAAGTCCTCACCTGTCAATGTATGCTGTTTAGTTTTTAGAGAAAATATTATGCTTTATTTAACTATTGTTTTCTTCTGATAGTAATCACATACATTTGCTTGAGCTCTAAATCCTCATAAACTCTGAAATCACTTTCACAAGGGTTGGAAGGCCAACAACAACCTTGAGTTCATAGTGTCATTGACCAGTGAGAGCTGATTCAAAGGGAGCTTCCTCTTGGCCTTCATATGTGATGACAACACTCTGTCTATTAAAGCCTGAGGCGCAAACAGGAAAAACAAAAGTGGCTTTATCCAAACCTTCTTGAGCTCTGAATCAGAAGGGTCAGAAGAACAAGAAAGGCATGATCCTAAATCGTGAAACAGAGAGGCACCAGATGCCCCCAGTATAATTTGGGGTAGCCTCGAGGCTGTTAAAGTTGTTCTAGGTGGTTCCTCCTTCTAGTGTCTAAGCTGGTTAAGTGTGGAAGGCACCCTGTGCTGCCCAGAGGCTGGAAGAGCACTTCAGAGCTGACAGCAGAGTCCAAATGTTATAATTTCACATCTCCTTGACTTGTGAACCCTATATGCCCAATGCAAACAACAAAGAGCTCATGATCTGGCTCAGTTGCTCTAGCAGGAGCCTTTTTGTGTAAATAACTTGACACTGGAACTGGAGGATTTCATCCTCGTTTATTTGTGCCATTAGTACCATTTAAAAAAAAAAAAATAATTCAGAAGCCAGGACTTTGCCTTTTTGTACAGTAGAGCTGACAGCAAAGGCCACAAGAGCTGGGAGAAGAGAACCAGTCCTTGGAATAGTCAGCTCATCAACTATTAAACACTCTTCCCTTCCACACCAAAAACATGATCTGACCTGAAAACCTGCTGACGTGTGTCACTAAGAAGGGTCAATAGGAACCCCTGCCCAGCTAAGGTCCACAAACATAATAAAGATTTGTCCAGAAGGAACAAGACAGCACCCATTCATTTCTCATGGCTCTTAGGTCTCCTAGTATCTGCATATTCCTGAATATTTGTGATAAAGACCCAAAAAATCTACCTGCAAGGCAGGGCAGTGCTAGTCAGGGACCTGTGATATAGGAATCAAAGAAATTTGCTCAAGGTCTTTGCATCTGCAGTAAACTGAAGAAATGTTTTAAACTATCTAAAATCACAGTGGCAGGTAAACTAGGGAAAATGCCAAACAGAACCCACTTGATATATTTGCTATATTACATGAGAAAAGTCAGTAAGTCCATAATCAGGAATGACAGAGAAAATAAAAGATCCCAAGAGTTTTGATTCCCATCCTCCAGTCTTAGGGTGAGCAGTGGTGCTTTAATTCAGTAAATACCAGTTCAAGGGTAAGTTAGGTCCCTGAACAC